AGACCCTATCCCTAACCCTATTCCTAACCCTGAAGCACGGATTGGATCATTTTATCCCATATGTTTGCTTTTATCAATTTTGCTGCGAAGACTACTGGTGAGGTTTGGTAGTGACTGAGTTTGGCGTCGACGATGCTGTTGGGTATTGCTGTGGTGGCGATGAGTTCGAGGGCACACGGTAGCCGACGTCCATTACCTGCGGCAACGGGCGATGTCGTTACGATGAATGTTGGCAACCTGCGCGCAGGTGTACCGATTCTGGTGAACAGTCAATCGACGAAAACCCTGCGAATCGAGTTTTCCTTAAACACTCCACCCACAGAATGTACCCTCGACAGTGAACCTCTTGTGGCCAGGACGGGTAATTGGATGGAAGTGTGACAGATTCTTCGTATGATGGACTCCAAGAGGTGCTCTCAGGACATTTGTGCCGATGGGAAAAATGTCCAAGTCAGGAGAAAGATGTGCACACAAGGAGCTTCGAACCAGTGTCCTTGGGCGACGCCATGTGCGAAGGTGTACCGATTCTGGTGAAAGTCAATCGACGGGTGCCCTGCGAATCGGGTCCTCCTTAACACCTGCGTGGGATTGCTGTTCCACGGAATTGTACCTTTATTGCGTCTGTCTTGATGAGACGGTGGCGTCTATCACTAGACCCGCCCCGCTTGGCTGCAGTGGGGAACCTATCCCTTTGCAGGCGCTTCCTCGCTCGACCTGGCTCTCCACGCTACATGTGCTCAAACGCTTGCTTGAACTTATCGATCCGTTGGTTTACCTCCGAACGCTCCCCGCGCGTTGCACGATATGGTATGGTATGTATCAGGTTATCCCGGATCACGCGCAATACCGGAAGGACGTGGAGGCTATCAGTGGGTACAGGCTCAAGGTGGCAACGGAGACCGAGGACGTGAGAAACTTGTATATGTGTGTGTGTTTTTAAATAACATCGACCGCGCTAACCGGCTGACCAAAGAAAAGACGTCAGTCTCAGTGCTGCAAACAGAAAATAACTGTTTCTCAAGGCCATGATGTGGGACCACGTGAGGGGGCGTCATGGGGAGACTAAGCTGTTCTCCGGATTAAGACAGAAATGGTAGCAGCAGAAGAAACGAAACTTGTGGTTGTGTGTGTGTGTGGGGAGGGTACTCATGTAAATGCATGCCGTAGTCGTTAGACCGTCGACTTCCCATCTGTACGATGCCGGGACGGAGCGACCTGCCGGGTTTTCACCGGCCCAGGCTACGTTTCAAAAGGATAAACCAGATTGTGCGTGTTTTTCTTCATTAGCATCGACCCCTCTAACCGGCTGACCATTGAAAATATGTCGGTCTGATAGCGGGAAGTAAAATCGCGAACATGATTTTATTGAACGGGCAAGGGTCCTACCGAAAGGGTGGCGCAGGAATGTGTATATGGGGGGTACTGACAACCTTTTGGTTGGGTGATACTCGTCAAGGGTAGGCAGGCACGGGTGTTGGTGCATGCTTTTGCACGATGCGGCGATGCCCGGTATGGCCTACTACCGCCGCGTGCTTGCTCCTACCGTTCTGCCCACCACCGGACGACACGGCCAGCGACGGAAATCGTGCTCAAAACCTTGTCGTTACTTAATACCGACGAACTTTGTCCTCTGCCTTGGCTGCCACAAACCCCTGTGTCCCTGTATCGGGCAGAGAGGAAAGTGGTTGTCGTCGTGTCACTGTTGTTGCGTTTATTTCCGCCGCCCTGTCGTCAAGAACTATCGATGCCGGCGATAGTTTTTCTATGGCGGCAAGGGGGTGCCTGTTGCAAGCGAAGCGGGCACGCCTCATGAAGAGCAACATGTCCAAACTTCCGTCACATCTTCGTTCTGGTGGCTCCGGGCATTGAATGTCTTCACCAGGACGTTTCTCGTCCTCAGACTCCACAACCGAAACCACCGAACCACGCACCGCACTCGTCGTGCCGTGCATCCATGCATCCCAACCCAACGCCGCCTCTCGTAACGCTGCATTCTGCTGTACTACCTCCTCCTCCAGGAGGAGACGATAGAGGACGAGATCAACCACGGGCAGCTGGAGGAGCTCCTCGTGGACGGTAAGAACGAGCTCAAGCTCATCGACAAGTACGCCGAGTGGCGACTGTGGGAGGCGGTGGACGAGCTCAACAAGGCCGACCCGGAGAGGCAGGAGGCCTAAAATTCCCGTCTGCGTATTTGTTCGGGCGAAAAGAAAGCGCCATACCCCGTGCGTACTCGGGCGAGAGAAAGCTTAACCCGCCCTCGTATCGGGGCCGAAGGAGGCGTTTACCCTCTGCGTATTCCGGCGAATGGAGGCCTACAGGTTCTGTTGCATGTTCGGGCGAAAGGAAATGCTGGTTCAGTCATCTTACTGGAGAGGATGGATGACAGTCCAGAGAAGAGATGCTATAGTTCGGAGGAAGCGAGGCCGGCACCGCACAAGAAGCGGGGGGGGGGGGGGGGGGGGGGGAAACCCCAAGGGGGGGGGGGGGGGAAAGGAAACGGGGGGGAATTTTTTTTTACCCCCTTTTTCGGGGCCGGGGGCGCCCAACCCCCCGAGGGTTTCCCCTTATTGGTTTTTTTTTTTTTTTGGGGGGGGGTTGTTTGGGGTCGTTCTTTAGGGACAAGGGGGGGGTGACCCTTTAGAAAAAAGGGGGCCCCCT